TCTTCGGAAGGCCATGATCTTTTACATAGTTCTTTATGAGGACATGCGCGGTATCTTCTGCGCTATCTGTCGTCTGCGTTGCAATGAACTTTGCACGCTTGGTCAATCGATCCACGATGACCATGATGGCATTACAACCATCCTTGCTGGGAGGTAAGGACACAATGAAATCCATCGAAATGTCGATCCATCTACCTCTTGGTACTTCCAGCGGTTGAAGTAATCCCGGCGGTTTCACTTGTCTCGCCTTGTTGCGCTGACACATTTCACAAGTGTTTGCAATAACGCTGGATATACTTCATCATCTTCGGCCAATAATACTTCTCTCGTACTGCGACGTAAGTCTTGTACGATCCAGGATGGCCTGCCGTTACGGCATCGTGGTTCTCGCAAATGACACGGTTTCTCAGATCTTCGTCATCCGGAATATACAGTCGCGGACTTTCATCTTCACCGGTCTGGTAGTATAATACACCATCACTGAGCGAGTAATGCGGGACGTTGTCTCCAAGCTTAAGCTTCTTGACAATTCCCTGCAAGTCCTTGATCCACGAATACATCTTCTTTGCGGACTGTGCCACAGTCACGTTGTTCGCTACCATGGTTGCCACAATCTCACGGTTTTGAGCCGTATCAAGAAGTTCCTGAAGGCTTACTTGCGCAGCCTTATGCTCGAACTCAGGGTTTCTTGATAATGCGTCTGCGACTACATTTGTTTCTCCTGGGATCCACTTGAGCATGGGTTGAAACTCCGCGAGTTCATTGAACCACCGCGCAATGCGTCTATTCGCTGTCTTCTGCGTAAGAATCATCTCGATGCTCTTATGATCGGTTTCGACAAGAAAGGGCTTGTCTAGCAGATATACACGCCATGCCTTCAGAGCATGCATGATTGCGAGAAGCTCTTGTTCGCGTACTGGGTAGTTCAGCTCTGCAGGTTTCATCTTCTGGCCAGTAAAGGCAATTGGATGTTCCAACTCTCCCTCCTTTTGAAATAAGACTCCCCCAATTGCGAAATTTGAGGCGTCCATTCGAATATTGAAAGGCTTGGTGACATCAGGAAGACGGAGAACCGGTGGTGATGACAAGCGTTTCTTTAGCTCATCAAAACACCGCAGCTGGTCCTCATTGAGTTCGATCGCATCTCTAGAGCGTTTTCCCTTGATACATTCGTGCAAAGGACCTGCAAACTGAGCGAAATCCTTGCAAAAGCGAGAGACGTAGACAGTTGTCCCCAGAAAGCTTTCCATTTTCTTCTTTGTCTTGGGAACAGGCCATTCTGTGATAATCTTCACCTTATCGGGGTCCATTCGAACGCCCTTGCGTCCGACAAAGTCACCTAAACATGGGATTTCGTCGACAGAAAATTGGCACTTGAACAGCTTGATGTATAGCTTCTGCTCTTCACATCTCCTCAAAACCCTGTCCAACGCGGCCATATGCTCGTCGACATCTTCACTCTTGGTGTACACGTAAATGTCGTCGAAGTAGATCCGCATCACGTCAAGTAAATCCCTAAAAACCTTCTGTAACAACCTGTTAAAGGTTCCCAGGCTACCGCTGAGTCCCATGGGCGTGACGAGATACTCAAAACGACCGTCTGGAGTCGAAAAAGCAGTAAAAGGTATATCTGACTCACGTAGCTTAACTTGGTTGTAACCCCAGAGTAAGTCCATGCACGAGTACCAATAGCTGCCGGCCATCGCATCAAAGGTGTCTTCTTTGCGAGGCATCGGAATAGCCGGTAGAACCGTAGCTAAATTCAACTGACGATAGTCGTGCACAATTCGCCATCCGACTGGTTTCTTCACACAGAAAGTCGGTGCACAAAACGCTGACGTACTCGGTCAAATGATACCAGCTTGAACCATCTCTTTGGTCCATTTCTGTATCGTTTTCTTCTGATCAGAACTTTGGCGCCATTGTTCTACCGAAATAGGCGAAGTATCAGGCTTGAGCAGAATCTCATGCTCAATCCCTTCACGTACTGGGGGTGTCTCATTCGGAAGTTCCGTGCGAAAAACCGTATCCGCATACTTACGTAGCGTATCGTACGCCGGATTGTCCTTGAGAGCATCCCATCCTTGACTCTTGAAGCGTTCCGCCTTCTCCGAGTCATGCGGATTGATAACAAACACCGCTTCGATGTCCTTGTCCCTACGCAACATTTGCTGGAACTGGTTGGACGAAATAACCTTCGTTCGTCCAAACTGGCCGTTGTGGCCATGCTGCCGATAGTAGTTGTATTCTCTCGGCTCTGCGCAATTCTGGCGCGGCGTTGTCCTGCCACCCAACGGGCTGGACGTGTCTTCGGCAGTCTCAACTTCACAGTCTGCGTGTTCTCCACGTTGATGCGAGGTGCAATCTGTCCAGTACTCCAGTCGATGTCAGGGTTCTGCTCCCGCAGCCACATCATGCCTAAAACTATGTCCTTTCCCTCAGGAACAGGCATGACTTGAATTGTTCCCGTTGTCAAGGGAAATCCTGGTAACTGTAGAGACATCTCTACAGTTCGACGTGGACGATGCACAATCTGATCATAACCGAGATCAACTTGCATCATGTCACCTTCAGTGACATCCAACTCAAGCTTCATCACTAACTCCTCAGTTACGCCGCTCAGACTACTGCCGTTGTCAATGAATATCGTGACGGGCCTCTCTTGGTCTTCCGTCTTGAATGCTCGAGCTTCAGCCTCTAGGATCGCATACACTGCGCCCTGCATGTACCGGTTTGCTTCCGTACGTTTTGGCTGAGTACAATCTGGAGAAATGTGACCAACCTTGTCACAATTTCTGCATGTAGTTGTCTTTTTCCAATCATCGTTCTTGCCCTTTTTCTTTTCGTAACGCCTGTTGTTCTGCTGTTTCGATTTAGGCGGATGATGTTCCGAGTCCGACGACCCTTTTGAAGGCTTCGAAGGTGCTCGAGGAGATTTCCCGGAGTAGTGCGCAAACTCGAAGCTCGAAGCAATTTCAATGGCTTCTTGTAGCGTTGATGGACTCTCTTCTTTGATCTTCTTTGCTGTTTCTTCACGTAACCCGTTTTGAAAGAAGAATCGTTTCTCCAACTCACTGATCGTCAATTCTGTCTGCGACAGCATGTCTTAAAACTTGGAGACATACTCCTGAATAGTCTCGGTCTGTTTGAGACGAAACATTCTCTCGCATGGATCATACTCGAAGTCCTTTGGTCGAAAGCGCGTGCGCAGCTGTTGCTTAAACAACGACCACGTGGGGTTCACACTCGCTCTCTCACATTCGGCTATAAAAGCGCGATACCAGTTCAACACTGACTTGCCTAAGTTGCTGGAGATTATCGTCACGAAACCTGACGATTCTGCCTCCATCAACTCACGTCTGCTTGCGTAGTACTGCTCGGTGGCAAAGATCCACAATTCAATGTCTTCACCATACTTTCCTTCATACATCGGAGGGTCCTTCTTCTTCTGCTCACCCCTAGCGGCAACGAGATATTCGAATCTCGCATTAGCTTGTTGCATTTGGGCTTGCATTTGCGCTTGCATCTGAGCTTGATACTGCTGTTGCTGCTGCGTAATGTATACGAGCAGCTGCTGCATGGACATGGTCTCAGGTCCAGCCGCATCCTGAGCAGCATCAGTAGCAGGGGAGGCTGACTCAGCCTGTGCATTGGCACTGGCCCCTTCTCTTGACGCTTGCGATCTTGTATTTGTTCGCATCGTGGGTTGGGTAGCTTCAGCGTCGCTCGGAGCACTAACACGGCTCTGTTGACGAGGACGAGGGTTCGGTGACGGGCGCTCAGCTGCACGACTCCTTCTTTGAGCCATTACAAGCTGGACTTCTCAGCGCAAGTCTTTTAAGATACCAGAACCCTATACCGAAGCTAAACGAAGCGAAAAAAGGTTCCGATTAAAGTTCCTCCCTACAATTTACGTTTCTTGTCTACGTGGATGGAGTGATCAAAATATCCTTCAAGAATTTCTTGGGTTTGCTCAATACGTTTCTTGAGCAATTCCCAGAAGTCGTGAATGACGTTCCGGGCGGCTGCGTCCTTAGAATCCGGAATTTCGTTTCGGATCAGGTGGACGAGCTTAAGTTGCTTGACCGTTGTTAGCCACAAGTCCAGACGAAGCTGATCGAGCTGCTTGTGTCGATCAGTCAAGGACTTTGTGCTGTTTACAAACGGATCTTCGGGTTGACGAGTCTTTCGCTTACCCATAAACAAGCACACTGAAACAGATGCAGTAGAAACGGATGTAGATCAAGCACAACCAGTGAGTATCTAATCGGACGTTCGCTCCTTTAAGCTCTGATGCGGGATACGGATCCACGTAACGTGAAAGCGTTAGACCCAAGGCCACCAGAAAGAGTTTTCGATTGTGTGTACCACACTAGTGCGCAACCACACCAACTAGCCACTGAACGTAACAGTTCGTGCTGAGGCAATACCCTTTGTGATCTAGTGCTTCTTCAACTATGTGGCTGGCACCAATAACCTCAGGACAACTCGCTTCTGGCTATTCCACCACGAGTGCCCTACTTGAACCGAAGCTTGACACGACAAGTGCTACTATGTCACGAAGTAGCGAGGAAGCGTAGGAGCGTAGACAGCGAGTACGGCGCCGTAGACAGTTGTAGGGGAGGAGAGGAGTTGCTGCTCGAAAGCAAATTGAGAAGTGATTAATCAGTTAGAGTTGGCGGCGGCAAGCTAGTAGCTGCCGCACAACCAGTAGTTCTTGACAACCAGATATTCACGCACGTATCCAGGTCCATCCTAAAACCTATCTTTCTCAAATCCTGATTTTCTCTGTAACTACCAATGAAAGTCTACGAATCCTAATTCTTATCTTGGTCGGAAATTTCGCACAGCGTCCCATAATCACAATTTCCGGCTGGAAGCTTGATTGTTGCAAATCCATGAAATTTTGGACCAATAGGATTGTAGTATGATGTAAAGACACGCAATCTTAAGTTTACGCTGATCAGAATAATCTGACCAGCTGAACTCAAATTATTGACGTGGCTGGTCACTGCCATGCCATTGGCTAGTGACAACCACGTCACAGGAAACCCCAAGACGTCTCAGAGACGAACGGCAGGACCGTGTGTTGCCACCGGAACGGCTCCAGCAGCTTCAGCTGACTCGTGGTCACTTCCTGGATCTTCGGGTACGAGTTCTTCACGACCACAACAAAGATCCCCAGCAACAAGACTCCCAACAACTTCACTAAGAGCTTAGCGCCAAGTAATTGCATCTTACGTAGAGCTCCGGTGCCAGCTGCAGCGTCTTCAGCCTCCAACATGTCGTACTCGAACAAATATCATTCTGGCCGTGGGATTTCCTGACGCCACGCTCGTGTGTCGCCCTCATGGACACCAAACACCTTGAACTGGAGCTTCGGATGCGTCCGAACGGGGCTCGCACTTCCGCGGAGTACTCGTAGCCAATCGATAACACCAGCTGTCGTTTTTATGTCAACGCGTGGGAATTCATACAAGAGACTTCAAAGTCCAGCATCCCATTGGGCTGCCAGTGTTCACATCGGACGGAGCTCGTGTTCATCCTGGCGCTACGATTGAGTCGGCTGTCGCTTTCCGGTCCTCCGAAGTAAATCACAACGATCTGCGGTGAGTCAAACGCGTCCAGAAGTGTCCGTAGATAGCGCAAGTTGCACGACCGGAGCTCGGACGTCTCGATCTTCCCCCTCCAGGTACTTGGACTTGGCATTACGCTACAGGTTGAAGATCCACCAGAGCTTCTCAGACTGCACTTCGTCGAAATCACTCAAGAAAATAGCTCCGTTGGAGCTGCTGCCTTCGTCACGTCCGAACCCATCGCTTCTGCCCAGAACAAAGTCTTCTTCAGGGGGCAACGACCACAGATCTCTCAGATCAATGAACTTGACAGACGACGTGCGCTTCAATTAGCCATCGCCGCTCTCTCCGCACTCTGCTAGCACTGACATACTTCCTCCTGCCCATGAACAAGTCTTTCTAAGTGTCAGCTCTGCACCTGGAGGCGGGTGATTGGGCACTGCTGGCTGCGGAGCTGAGCGTGATATCTCGCGTGTATACTGGCGTGGCTTCCTGTTGTGTCGCTTCCAATGAAAATGTAGAAGTGCTTATGGATTGAGCTTTTGGTCGTTAACCCTACTCACTCTGTTTCCTCATGCCTGGTCTCCGGAAGAAATTTTCCGCTGCTCCACCGTTGTGTTGCCGCTGGAGTGTTGGTGTTGGTGGGCACAACCCCAACAACATAAACACTCTGTAGCTAACGCTACAACACTTTCCTCTCCGGAAATTCAGTCCATATGCACGCGACTTGCCGTTGAGTCGTTTTACGAGATTCCTGGTAGCCTTGCTAGGCAATGCGCAACGCCTTTCGAAGCTCTCGCACCGCTGGCTGCTTTCCATGCCCTTTAATGAACGTCTTCACGGTCGCAGGAACGTCTTGTAACAGCACATCGCCTGGCTCCCAGCAGTCTTCCACAGCATCGAGGCCGCGCCAATGAACTTTAATCTCGTGGCGTTTTTCTTGCTGGTTGTAGCGGGCCTCTAGTAAAGTATCGACCACATGCCCCTCGCTGTTATGAGCAATATGCAGCAACAGATCCTCCGACACATCGAGAGAGGAATCCGCATAGAACTTTAGACGACTCGCATGGGCCTCTTTACATTACCCCGTGATCAAGTTCTGGATCTTGAAACTCCAATTGGACACTGTGTCCACCACCCGTGCTGGGCCGCACCACTTCACACGCAACTTGCTGCGTGTATGTTGCCAGACATCCGCATAAAGAACAAAATCCCCGACATCAAATTGGGCCATGGTAGTGCCTTGTTTTTTGTCGTGACCCTTTCTTCCAGCAGCTCTGGTGGCAGCATTTGCCTGTTTGTTACTTTTGTGCATACGTTCTAGAGCTTGTTGTAGTTTGGCGACATTCTCTCGTTGCACATTCTGTATCGTGTCTAGTGTAGCCATCTTTACTGGTCCCGGAACAGCAATGTGATCGCTCGGCCTCATTGCTTCTAAACCATTGCAGTAACAGGCGCCACGCCTCCAAGAGCTGGTGATGGCGAGTTGTTCAAGACCATTTGCACAATCTTGATCACTCGCGGCCATTCATTCGGTTGTAATCTCCATTCCGATAGAAGTGCTCGGCAACAGCGCAATATTTCTTTCATTACCACCTCCACGGTACCGTTCGCCCACGGACAGCGGGCGGTGATAAAATGATGGTGCGCTCCGAGCGAGTGTTGAAGCGCCTCAATCATTTTGTTCTTAAAGTGGGTCCCCTGGTCACTTACCCAGGTCCGACACACCCCAAAGCAAGCAAACCAGTAGAGCAAAGCATTTAAAGTGGTGTCCGCATCGGCCGCCTTGCACGGCACAAGCCACACAAACTTGGAGGCATCGTCCTTAATGACTAGCACGTACGTCTGCTCCGTGTCACTTTCCCCCATGTACAAAAAGTCCCAGTGTAATAGTTCGTTTGGACGTTCGGCATGCATTGCCTCACCCAGCACACGTTGCTGAGGTGGCCCTCCTGAGCGCTGGCGCAGTGCAAACAACGCTAGACAAAGTACTCCACGTCTTGATTTATATTATTCCAAACAAACCGGTCACTAATTTGCTTCAAAGTCACCCCACTGCCTCTATGTCCAGCAATGCCGAAATGACCCACCACACACACCCGAACTTGTAGGTCCGTCGCCTCATTAGGGATCCAGATCCTACCCTTCTTGTCTCTCCAAAGAGAATCCTCCTTTGATTTGGTATAGCCCGATGGTGGTGTCGATTCTTTCTGTGCCGCAATAATCGCTGACGAAGTCGGCCACTCAAACGTTTCATCAAGTTGCGGAGACATTGGCGGTGCCACCTGTCGAATAGCACAGATAGTCTTAAGTGTGCAGCCCCACCTCGATAGAAGGTCTGCCCACACATTCTCCTCGCCGGAGATGTCGTAGATCTCGTATTGATATCCCATCAGTAGCAGAGCCCAGCGATGCAACTTGTCCGCTGTATACTTGGGCACCGAAGGCGATACACTATGTGGATCGAAGATATAGCGTAAATTTTGGTGATCGGTGAATAATGCAAAGCCATCGTGGCGGTGAAGCATGTAATCCGCACGTCTGCACGTTTCCACAATGGCATATGCCTCCTTCTCTACGATAGCCCACCGTTTTGCAGCTCCTGAAAATGAGCCACCCAACATCATGAGAGGCTGGTGATCTTGCTCACTCAACGGCCTGACTGCTTGATCGCGCGAAATTTTTGTTATCATAGCACCCCAGTGCTCGTCACTAGCATCCGTGTACACGGACAGACGCTTGTCGGGATCTGGGTGTGCTAATTGCACCGAGTTTTGCAAAGCTACCTTGCAACGACTCAGACATTCTATCTCAATGTCGCCCCACCCCACATCCGAAAGCTGGACGCCTCGCACTTGACATTTCTTGCGCCCACCAGCCCGTTCGTACACGTTTTCCATGCACTTCGTCAACGGTGCGATCAATTTGTTGAAAGCTGGTAAGGATGACCTCATCCAGTTCAATGCACACACGAACTGTTGCAGTTCCTGTTCCGTAGTAGGAGCAGGAAGGTTTGTGAGAGCGTTAATTCGAGCTGGATCGTGTCGGACACCATCACCGGACACAACACGTCCACACCACAGTGCCTCACGCTGATAAAACTTGCACTTCTTTGGATTCAGTTTAAGTCCTTTGTCGAAACAAATGCCTAGAACCTTCTTCAGCAATACAAGAAGTCCTTCATCACCGTCACTGTATCCAAGTAAGTCGTCAATCCAAATCATCAAACCATCGTTGAGCACGTCAGCAAACATTTGCTGCACTGTTGATTGTACGTAAGCAACACTGTTCGTTCCGCCCATCAACACTCTGGTCGGTGTAATCACTCCCTCGTCCGTCAGGATAGAGTATATCTCTTGGCACCACTCAGCCATAGCAAATTGCCAGAAACCCTTAAAGAAATCCAACGAAAAGTATCTTGATGAGCCCCGAAGTTGCTCGAATGCCGCCTCCAATATCGGCATTGGCCAAACAATCTGCTCTACACAAGCATTTGGGCCCCGAACGTCAGCCGTCATGCGATGACTACCAGCTTCGGGCTTCTTAACGACATGGGGTGGTGAACACCACTTGCTCTTCGGGTTCCGGTAGCACAATCCGCCTGCAATCAGCGCTGCAATGTGACTCTTTAGGAATTCGCGTTGTACCGGAGAGTATCGGCGTGCCTTGCACTTTGTTGGCACGGCACCAGGCGTCAGTGTCACCTCCATGGGTGGCATATCCACCGGTGGATCACGACCAATTCATATACTAAAAACATCAATGAATTGCATCAAAAATCTTTTCCAATTCCACCACAAATTCGGCTGTAGCCCCTACACGACGAACTTCGTCTATGGCTTCAAGAAGTATTTTCTTGACTTCATCTTCCTCGCCTTCATTGTCACTAGTAAACTCCGGGAAACAGGTGCGATCTTCATCTTCTCTCAATGCACGTTCTTCCTCAGCAGGTGAGGGAGTCTCCATGCTCCCAGCGTAAGCGAGAACGCTCGCTACACCGCTCACCCCGGTATCATCTACGTCACTCATATCCCATTCCGCACTTACTTGTTGAGCATCATCCAGTAGTTTCTTAGGATTGTAGCTAAGTCTCTCCACAATCCACTTTGAGAGTAGTAAATCGCCGACACCAGAAGGTAAACTGCACTCTGTCACCCAGCAAATCACATTTCGGAGCACCAATGCTCCTCCTGGTGTCGAAAACCGGAGATCCAGCTTCACTTTACTCTTTACTGTGACGGGTTTATCTCCAACTCCAGTGACAGCAGCATTTCCTGGAACTTCTTGCTGATTTAACCACGCTCCTTTCGTTACTAAACTTCTTAACAGCTTTGTCGTAACCACGGAGACCTCAGCTGCACTGTCAGGCGTGATCGCAGTCTCCAAAATGTCCATGACGGTACACGGAATTGTAGTTGTGGAAGATGCAACAGGAGATCTCTCAGGAGCCACTGCCAGCACAGGTTTCATAACCTTTTTCCCAGTAGTAGTCTCGTAGATCTCCATCGGACTTGAAATATTTGGGCACTGAAACACCCCATGGGTTTGGTCACCACATTTGAAACACTTCTTCGGCTGTCTACTGCCAGTATATTTCTGCTTAGAGTTGTGACCTTCTTTCTTTTGTAATCGGTCATCAGCAGTCTGCACTTTGCTCGGTTCCTGACCACGTCCAAAGTTCCGTTTACCTTGACTGTGCGTCTGAGCAGGCTTCGCGAAAGGCTTTTGCTGATTCTGTGAAGCAATATGGACCTCAAATCGCATAAATCCTCCAACTCACCTCTTAGCCACTTCAGAAACGCTGACAAGTTTGACTTAGTTGCTTTGTGACATTGCCGACTCAACTGATTCTTCACTGCTGCTTTAAATGCCGGTGGTCTTAGTGCGTCCACAAGATACCCAACAACCTTCTTTGGCTCAGTGTGAGCAATGTCTTCCATGTTGAGATGGTCAATAATCTCGTAAAATTCCGCCATTAAACGAGAAAGTCTGGTCTCTGCATCCTGTAACTCAATGTCCATACAAAGACGTTTGACTTCCTTTTCAAGGGTCTTGGACGCTGTATTATCTGGTATTCTTGCCGTCAAAAAGTAATCTCTCCACTCAGTCTCCGTGACATCACTTTTCTCTTTAAACAGCTCGAAACCACAGATGCGAACCAATGTCTCTTGCTCGATACAAGCGCTAAGAGGCATCACAAAAAGCTTAGCCTGAGTTCCTTGATTCAGCGCTTGGATACGCCGAGTGTAGATTGCATAGCTGTCCATGAAGTCCCTTTTTTCCTTCTTGGAGCTTTCTCGATAAATTGGCGGTACGGGCAAGTTCGTTCCTGCTGCCACAGTGACAGCAGCCTGCTCTTGAGGTCGAACTTCCGCTGGAGGTGCTGCTCCCTGCGCAAATGCACCCCACCGAGCCTGCAAATGAGGCTGCACGGCTTCGGCTAAGCTCTCCAGTTTCTGGCCTTGAAGACCAACTGCTTCTTCTGCCGCTCGTAGTACCTTGTACTGT